GAATTTAGTTTTGTGTACATGCTGACTCTGGCACACAACTGATTGTTGAAAGATTTCTGTCCCACTGTCACACTGATGATCTGTTGGCTTTGATGGAGGGAAAATCCGGTTTTAGATGATCAGCCATGATGTTATGCCTCACAGTATTATGCATTAGACAAAAAATAATATTGGAAGCATATTTGTTAGAATTTAACCTTGAAATTATTACAAATTCAGTACGGATTCAAATGCGTAAATAGACTGCTGGTAAGTGAAGCTAGTCAGGTATTATTTTTCTGAAACTGAGAAAAAATCATATAAGCCTACGTTCTGTTTTTACTGTCAGATATTTTGGTGTATGCTATCTTTATCTTTAACAGCTCTAAGACTGTTTTCATTAACACTTCTGCTTAGTTATCTATTCTCGCATTTTCCATGGATCCTTGTGTTTAATTTATAAAAATTTTTCTCTAGAAGCTTCATTTAACACCTAAGGACCCACATGTATCTGCAGACAATGCACCCAAGAGCATTGCATTGGGGACAGAGATTCAAAGTCACAAAGCTGTCAGGGAAAAGATAAACAAACTGGATGTGGTGAGGATTTAGCCAGGGAGCCCTGTGTCTTTGAAAACTACATGCTAACAGAAATTAAGACCCTGAAATGAAGTTTACAGCAAATGCCAAAACACAGTTTAGGCTGCCACCACTTAATATCAAGTTATATTGCTATATAGGCTGTGGAATTATTTGATTGGCAAGCTTAATCCTCTTCTCTCCTTGAGCAAACGTATCCAAACAAGCAATTATTGAACTTGAAAAAAAAATTTACGTGACACAAATATTGTCATAGGAATTAGCACCATTAATAAACGTGGGAGACACAGCATTACATGTGTATACACTGCAAATGAGTCAACCATTTTCCAGAGGTGTCATGCATTAGCCGAGGTGAGAAAAGCAAATTAAGTTGACACTGCTGATGGATTGTCAAAAAAGGACTGTAATAGGCTTACAGCGGGAAGAAAGTAACTGACAACTAGTGTGTGCTAATGTTGCGACACAAAATAGAAGCCTGAAAAATTCCATTCGCTATGCTTTTTTATTATTGGAAAATGTTGGCTGTTGGTCATTGTGAGTCCGTTGAAAGTTACAAATGTGTCATGAGAAGTGACTATCCGTTACTAACAGTCAGGGTAGAAAATCACTGTGGTTGCAAAACATGCACCTGGGATGATTTATTGATTAAACTAACCCTTCCTGTACTTAATATTAATAATTAATCCCAATGATTCTTTAATTTTGAAGCTTGACATATACATCAGGCTACAATCTCAAAATCTAAGTTTAATCAACACCATTCTGACAGTCTTAGGCTTGTTAATCACAGTGTAACACCTCTACCTCTGAGGTTTGGGCAGACATAGATTCTCACAGCTTAGAAAAGATTTATTTTCATTAATATTCCACCAAAATGTATCTGTATAAACCTGTTAACATCTCCTGTGCAGGACATATTTAGCTATTTGGCAGTGAGCCCACATGCATATTTGTATACTGGAGCTGGAATCCTAATCTTATCTTAATACTGTATGTGATAAATTCCTATCTGGAGTCCAGAGCTTGTTCCTGGATAGAAACACTTAAAATTCATAAAATCTCTGCCATGCGTGTGTGTGTGTGTGTGTGTGTGTGTGTGTGTGTGTGTGTGTGTGTGTGTGTGTGTGTGTGTGTGTGTGTGTGTGTGTACAGATAGATGTAAAAATAACTCTATCATCATTTGGCACAATTTGTAACAGGAAGATTGTTTTCATTATTGATTAATTAATAAAAAATAGACAAAAATGTCCATCACAATTTTGGCATTTGCCTGATTGAAATGATTTATTAGTTATCCAAATATTTAATGATTAATAATCTGTTGATAACTAACCTCATTTGTAATGTAACAAATCGATAAAAACCTAAATCTATTAATTTTATATTTATATTTTGTTATATAACAATAGAAATATTAAATTAATAGTAAACATTTCCTGTTTCATCTGTTAATAATCACTGATTAATAATCATCCTGTACCTGTATAGAATTAATGTCACCATGAACTTTGCCACTCAGTGTGCTGCTTTCTCTCACAGCAACTCATCAACGTTTTTACCTGTGTTGTTGAATGACAGTGTCTGCAACCTGAAACCTCCTCAAAAAACTTTTCCACTCATAAAATCCTGTCCAGCAACCATGCTTGAGGCATATCCTGCACGGGGAGCATTTACGTTATGCAGGTGTTTTAAGTTTATTCTCAATTTGGTTGTCATGGAAAGGGGAAAAATGAGGAGTGAGGAGTCATGCATTAATATTATGAACCTAGTAAAACAGTTGAGCTAATGAAAAGTGAGCCATTATACTGTAATAAAGAGACAAAAAGTGTGTGGACTCACATTAGTTGAAAAGGCATAGAAAAGCGATATCTACTTGTAAAAGTTAAGTTAATCTCTTATTATGAAACAGTTTTCCCACAGCAGGATCCTTGCTACTGCCAATGCCACTAAAGCTCTTTGTTCAGAGGCCACTTGATTATTACAGTGTATTTTAAAAGCAATAAATCATGCTGATCAGCACAGGCCACTGTAATAATCTGGCATTTGGCTCAAGTTCTTATCCAGACAAAAAGGTTTACAATAACATTGCCATACTTGCTGCGGTTTAATCAAGTCTGGATCTCTGAGAGCATGTGCGGTCTGGCCAGATGACTGCAGCAGCACATGAGGTGATATTTGAGACCATGTGGTGAAAGCTGAGCTTCTTCGCTCTGCTGATGACGACTTGAGAGATATTTTGGCAAAATGTCCCAAGTTACTGCTCTGTGTGAAGATTACATCAACTGGGAGAGAAATTAGATCTGAACTGCCTCCAAGCGCAGGAAAGTTACTAGAGATATAACAGTAAGGTTATATGGTGAGATGATAGAATAGAATCTTGTACATTGTTGAGTAGTGCACAGATATTTCTATTTAAGGGATAGGTTTAGATTTTCTTTTGTGAAGAAACATGACAATTGCGACAATAGTCCAAAGGCCTTCTTCAGTGTAAATCATCTGTCTGAGTTAGTCAAAACACATGGGGATTTTTAAGTACATAATGTCAGTTTTGTGTTTCTGCGGAGAGTGTTTCCTTTGCTAAGCTATAAGGGAGGGACAGTATTTTAAAAGACTGTTTTTGGAAGCTACTATCTTGATTGGTTTAAGTAAGACTGCTGAAGCCTGTGTGTTAGCTTCAACTTAATTTTTTAAGACATTTTTGCAAGAGGAGTGTGAATTTGTCCCCCATCTCCTACATTAGACTTAGATTAGAGTGCTAGGACGGGATCCCTTCACTGTATGGAGAGGAGGAATGATTACAGTATGATCCTGATGGGAAATGTGAACCTATTTTCTTAAGCTGAATGAATGTTTTTTATATGAAAATGACTAGGTGGCCCTCAGCTATGACCCAACAGATAATTATCATCAATTATGCAGCTCTATGGAGCCTTTTGCCTCTTTTAGTTCATTGTTTTCTGGTCTGCAGACACAGCTCATCAACAACATTTCCAGATCATGAGACAGTTCCAGATGCAACAAATAATCGACGTAGTCGACAGAAATCATTAATTATTAAATTTGTTGCCACGAAGTGATTATTGGTCCTCTCTTGTAAAATCAGCAAATGTAATGCATGAAGTTATTCCTTTCTTTGTAGCTATTAAATATAGAGTCAGTTTGTTTCGGTGTGTTGCGGTACCAGTGTGTAAGCTCCTCCATCTCTAGACATCAGATCAGCTGTTCAGATGAGTGCTCACACTTTCTGTTGCTGCAGCAGAAACGTTTTTTAAAAGATGTATTTTTGAAAGCAGTATTCATTTTATTGTCTTGACTGTTAATTAGCACATGCCAAACCAACCACAAGTTTAATTTTAAAGCTGATGGCTAAATCAGAGACATTGTGTATTTTGCGATTCATAATCCGAATAGTCATCGATAGAATAATCAACTATCAAAATAGTCGTTAGTTGCAGCCCTGGAATAAAGCTCGGCTAAACTCACTGTAGACTGTAGACAGATAAAGTTAGCAGCCAGCTGCTGAACATTATGGAGCACTTTAGCAGCTTAAGATCAGGAGTTGGTGGAGACCAAAAGAAAGATAGGCAAATGTTTGCTACAACAACTTTAAATGTCAGATGTTCTGTTTTCCGCTTGTTCTGTTGCCCCCAAGTGGTCAATGAAATAAATGAATGCAGCTTTTAGGAGAGGCAATATGTAGTTTTTAACGGCCATTAGGGGTACTTTTTTTAGATTGTAACCAGGTGCGTGCTCGTACACATGCTTGAACTCATGAGTGAGCAAAATCCGACACACGTACAAACTCACTGGGAGACAGCTTCACACAACATGCTGGAAACTCAGGTTAACTCCTACTGCAACGTTAGAGAAATATTTTTATCAGCTTGAGGTTGAACTAATCCATGCTCCTTACATAATAACGTTACATTGCCTGCATTTAGCCAACGTAACACATATGCATAAGCTCACCTGCCTGCTTTTCAGTAACTTAACGTTATTTGTTTATCTTTCACCTTTCACCGCCTTGTTGTTTCTTATCCTTACGAGGAGTTTGTGTTGGAGTCTGTGTTGTGCTGGGAGCCAGTTGTTTTATGGTATTAGTGGACTGCATTTTGTTAGCTGTGGTGTTGTCTCTGTAGTCGGCAAGAGGCTCGGGAGCTTGCATGCAGCATTAACTAAAGAAGCAGAATAGTGACTGTTCCAAGCAACAGAGAAAACAGGCATGTGGTTCATTCTAAGTGAGATTATAGCCAGTTGACAAATGGTTTAGAAAAAGTTTTTTTTTGATAAGTAGTATTCATTGAAAACTACATATAGCCCCTTTAAAGTGACTTTATGGAGTTTTCATTCATGTAGTGTTATGTTATTTGGATCTTCATATTGTTTTTATCTTGTGTTCAACCACCACAGGGGTGCACATGCACTACAACATGAACAGGAGGTTAACATGATATATATTTCATCAGCAAAGCAGCTATAAAAGAGGATAAGAAGAGAGCATGCTGATATAAACAATACAGGTTTCAAAAGATTAAAAAGGGGTTTGCAGATGTTTCATGAGGTGAGAAATGCATTCAACATGTTTTCAGGCCTTAAGGATACATATAATTTATTTTTGTGAGAACAGTTGAAAGTAAACAAAACCCTGTTTGTTTACAATTAAGACTCCACGGGACACCCTTAATCAAAGCATATCCATGCATTATTAAGCCAAAAAACGGTTCTTGCAGGTTCACTCGCATCTATGCGCTTATGGGGCAACTGGTGTTGTGGATTACATAAGACTGCCTGTGCTCTCACATACTGTGGGAGCCTACTCATATCAGTGGGTGACATCCCTCCAGGGCAAATTATGCATCCCCAGGGAGGCGAGAGTATGTCATCGGTGCAAGCGGTTGGCTGAGGCTCAGAAGGAGCATTTTAATTGTGGCTCGTGTCATGCTGAAATAATCAGGGAGGCTGTGGCATCAGAAAAGGTTGCCTGCAGTAAATAGTGTTGTGTCACAAGTGCCATGTGTTATTTTACAGGTTTTCTTACAGGTACAATCACTCATACCATTTGGAAGAGTAAAGAGAAGATCCACTTCATCTTCACTGTGTCTGATGTTTTCTCAACAAATTAATACCACCTCAATGTTGAGCTATTATATTTACCACTGGAGGTGCTGTTAATCCAAAGGAAATACATATTCAGATTCAGTTTGGAGGAGAATATTCTCTTTTCTGCATAGATCCAAGGAATCAAATTAAAGCCAAATTCTTGTGTGGTTATCAGTTTAAGTCATGAATGAGAGTATGAAAACTTCATATTTTGGATGTTTCGTAATGTTTATTCACACGCACGTCTTTGTCAGCTCTCTACTTTTTCTGTAAAATGCCCCTCTGATTCTCATCTTTTGGAATGATTAATCATATTTTATATGCCAGCTAATTTGAAGATCATTTTTGAGAAATTGTTTGTTCAGTTGAAAAACCTCTAATTGAACTGCATGGGCTGCGCTCAACAGAGAATTACTGTTGTAAAGTTATTCCATACATGAGAGGAAGTGTTTAGAAAATTCTAATTGTATTCCCATTTCAGCTGTTAGAAAGAATGGGAATAATTTGCCAACCAGCTGACTGTGAGACAGGTGAAATTGAACGTTCAGGCTTTGAGAGTGAACTTGAGGTTTAATCTTAGCATTCAACTAGAAAATACTAATCCTTGTGAGGAGTGTGCATGTTCATTATCAAAAAAAAAAATGAAAGTAAAAGCCAAGTGGAAAACAATCAGTGACAGCACTCGCCACGAGTCTCTCTCTGAGTGCCTTAGATAACTTGAGCAGTAAAACTTTAACACTGTCCCTGCCCTATCAATAGAGGAGAGATAGTGAATGCAAATCCAACACAACACACCTCTACAGCACGCTAAAGTGTGAGCCTAATTAGCTTCAGGAGCAGGTTTGTTGAGCAAAAAACATAAAGAACAAGACAGTGATCAAGGGAAAGACTAGGAAGATAAAGCGCCAAGAGAGTTGGACAACCTGATTTGTCTTTAATTAAAAGTAAAAGGTTTATCCTTGCAGAAGGCAACCGCTGGTCTCCAAAGGCCACTCCAATTACTGAGTGAGACAAAAATTAGGGAGTCCTAAAAAACCAGGAGTGGCCAGACTTAGAGAAAGGCAGAGAGGTAGAGCTGATAGTTGAGAGGTGGTTCAAAAGGCATGCTTGTGAACTGATATATGTGATGTGTTTGTATGTGTGATTCTTTGCACATATGTGTGTATTAACAGGTCCTGCACTTGTGAATGTTTAAGTGCAGGGTCAGGAGGGAGGGGCAGTATATAATTTTCCAGTCTTGGAAGATGCGTGTGTGTGTGTGTGTGTGTGTGTAAGTGTGCTGGAGCCGGGAAGGGGGGGGTTGAAAGAGGGCGTCCCTCTCATGATCCCTCCCCAGCCCTGCCCCTTCTCAAAGAGGAGTATCCTGTAGCAGGTCCCAAAACTGGAAACTCATTCAGTGCCTACTGAATGGAGTGCCTTTAACGTGAGAGTGGATGACTTGACTTCCAGCACGAAAATATGAGAGCCCTGAATTCAGTCCTGGTCGGTGCCTTCCTGACCCTGCTCCTCTGCCTCCCCAGCCCTGGTCTTGGAGGTAAGTGAAGCTACAAATCTCTTCTGCTGTGGGATGCAAAAGAGGAGATCATATCACTGTCACTGTATGTGGCTTCCCCTATGCATAACTCAAAGCATGATAAACTTATGAGTGATATGTTAATGCCTTAAAAAAACAAACTTTAACAATGACCAGCACCAATACTGTACTGAGCAAAACGTTTATACGTTTTTTTTCCCCTTTATTTTCATTGTCCACACTCTCTGTCCTCATGCCATTCATTGCTCAGCAGTGAAACTTTCCTTTTGTTGGATGAAACTCAATACATGAGGGGAAAGATGTACCAAGGGTCTGACCCTGGTCCAAGGTCTGAGACAGCATCTGTCAGTTTTTCATCAATTTCATATTTCTTTGCCTTTTCCTTCTGTGCCTGGCTTTTTCTGTGTGCTTTTACCTTGAGAATGTTTGCATTGAAACGGTGTTGCCAAAAGGCAGGAGAGGTAGTGAAGTTGAAGCCCTCTCTGGTTAGGAGGTGAGCTGAGGTCCCTCTGCCGGCAGCAATGAATGGCTCTTTCAGAAGGAAGTGCATAGTGGCAGGCAGAGCAGCTCCTTATCCACCCAGAGAGGAGATGAAAGTGAGAGAGAGAGAAAGAGAGAGAGAGGCTAGTAAGGGAGTGAGAGAGGCAGTGTGTATATTGGGGAGGGGGATGTTGGAAGGCCAAGGCACATACAATGGCCCCATAGTGCAGGAGTAAAGTCAGCTACAGATGTACCTTTCTCAATATGATTTGATGCAGCAGGTCTTCCTCATATTGCTACTGAGAGTGAGTACTGTTAGTGTGGGTTGTACAGTGTTTGGGTGAGGCAAATCTGGTATGTGAATGGGATAGTGTGTTCAAACAGCTTAACCAACTCACCTCAGCGCAAAATTGTACATATGGCAAGTTGTCAGGATTAGCACTGGACCTAAAACAGCTGTTGAGCCCATTGTCTTCCGCCAGCTGTCAGAACTCTCACTGCAAATTCCACTCCAATTAAGTCTGGGCAAACCTCTCCATGAGTGTCTCATTGGCAGCTAAAGTGAAAAAGTGGCTGTTGATCTGAACAGAAGAGTATTGCTTTGTTTCAGTGGCACAGAATCAAAGCTCAGCTGGAGAGCTGGATTCATTTCTCCTGCACTGTGATCTGTTTGCCACAAGCATGAAAACAGTCATCTGCCCTTCTGTTTGCTCATTTATAGATAAACCCCACTGACTGGCGTGACGATGACACCTCCGCTAAAGAATTAGCTGTACACTGAGCAAACAGTGAGTGCCGTTTCAGTGTGGTCACATTGCATTTACTGACAAGAAACCTTTTGCGTAACAGTGTGCAGTATCTTAATGCAGATATACGTACAGTAGTTAGCATTATAGTTCTCGCTGACTGGTTAAATGGTGCAGTAGATGTAATTTTCCACATATTTTAAACCAAATGTTCCTCTAATCAAAATGATGGCAGAATAAAAGAGGAAAACTGTATGATGGAACCATTTCTCCTCATCTAATTATCTGCTGGCAGAATCCTCGCTGCCTCAGTGTGTACAACAGTACTCACCCACTGACCCTGGAGAACTAAATGCTAATGTTGACCAGATGTACCGAGTCACTGATTAGATTTTGGCCCCCCACAAAAGCCCCCACTGAGCTCCACAAAATGCTTGCCACAAGCTATCAGGGGACTCTTCCGCCAACTACCTAGAAAGCTTGCAGAAGGTTTCATTTTATCCCTGTGTTTACATCTTCAAATATCACAGGCCAAGCACCACATGACATCCAGATACCTGGGTGTTCTTCAGCTCATTGGCACCTTTCTTTACAGAAGCAATATGCATTCCAAAAGTGGTCTACCTGTACCTACTCGTACTATATTTCAGAAACATCTTGCTCAGTAACAGAAGTGAATTGAACTAAATCATCAATGCAGCACAGGGAGCCTTCCATGAGTTTTCTTCAGTGGTGCAACCTCTGTAGCCTTCTGGTGATTTCATGGCCCTCACTTCAGCATTGTACCAGTGATTGATGACACCATAGGCGCTTTTCAACCAAAAGTCCCCAGATCTTTTTTAAGGAACTAAAAGGTTCCTTCAGCCCACTGTTGTGTGCGTTTCCACCGTGGTCTAAAAACCTATGAAGATTAGGCAAATTAACCAGCTGACGTAGGCTGTAGGCCTGGCTGTACACAGTAATGCACAGGCATCATTATTTGTAACCACTATCCATAAGCAACATTTATAAATGACCATCAGATTTGACTGGAATATAATGAAAAACTATAGGCTTAGCTTGACCATTAAAGCAGCTTTTTTGTGTGGGAGTATAATGAGGAAACGCGATAAAGTTCATTACACATTTAATACCAAACTGGATAAAGCCATAAAGTTCTTAAAATAACTCCAGTACAGAGAAAGCAGCACAAAAATAAAATCGCGACAGTTTGAAAGGTTATTAAAACATTTCCAGCTAACAAGAGCTGCAGATCAGCTGGCAGCACATGTCTGTGTCTGCCTGCGTCAGAGGAACGGGATGTTCCTTTAATTACCTGCTGTAATCAGCTGGTCCGCTTGTTTTGGAGAGGAGGAGACCGACTTCGTCTCCTTGTAGAAACAACCTTCCTGACTGATGAAAACTCAAAACAACAACTTCTGACCCAGTATTTAGCCTAACCCCATCAGCTGCTCGCTGTAAAAACTGAAGAATGCAGGCTGCTGTTTCCCAGCTATAAAGTTAATGCCGACATACGATTTCAGGTGGACATCCGCGAGACATGTGTGGATAACAAACTGGATAAAACCACCAAGTTCTTAAAATAACTCCAGCACAGATAAAACAATGCAAAAATAAAATCACAACAGTTTGGAAGGTTATTAAAACATTTCCAGTGACAAGAGCAGCAGATCAGCTGCAGGACTCACGTCTGTGTCGCCTGAGCGTCGGAGGAACGTGATTTTAACAAGCTTTATTACCTGCTGTAATCAGCTGTTCAGCTGGTTTTGACGAGGAGGAGACTGACTTCAGCTCTGTGTAGAAACTTCCTCACTGATGAAAACTTAAAAACAACAACTCTGGACCCAGTAGTAACTCCATCAGCTGTTCGCTGTAAACACACCCAGGAAGGCTGCTATTTACATTTAATGCCGACGATTGATCTCAGGCGGACCGCGGCGAGACATGTGTGGCTATTTGACTGCTGATTGTTTTTTATTGGTTTGCAAACAATGGTGGAAAAGAGAGGAGCAATAGCAGACAAATACCCGACATTCTCCAGTTAAAGCCAGTAGCCTCTACTCGCCCATTCAGAAATTCACTGCAAAGCAAGCCCCGCCCCCCCCAAAGTACCCGGTACTTTCGGAAAGTACTACCCCCCGAACAGGGTCTTTTTAGGGGGTAAAATGAAGACCCCAGAACTACACTAAGACCCTGGTCCCTCTGGTGGAACGCAGTAAGTTCCTCCAAAGGTTCCTAGTTCCTGCGTAAAGTTCCTTTAGTTGAAACGCAGCTGTTGATGTTTCACCTACCCAAGCACACTAAATACCTGCCAACCCCTTTAGATACTACATATCAGTGAATATCATTTCACCATAGAATTTAAAAGGGACACATCTTTTTTGACATGGGTTCTGTATTCAGCAGCCATGTGACAGCACTTTTTTTCTTAAATAGACGGATGCTCACTTTATCATGGCTCCATCTGAAATTGGACATGACATGTTCCTTCTTTAAAAAACCGCCTGCAGCTCTGTATCTCTTCAGTGGACAGTAAGGCTACCAGTTAACCAAGGTTTGGGAAAATTGCCAGGGTATTTATCATACATTTCTCTCCAGTGCTTACATGTTGTTTGGTTGGCCTGGTAATAGAGGTTGTTTTTCCTGTTTTGCTGTCTGTTGATAGGCACACAAAATCTGATGCAATGTAAATCTATTTGGAAGTTATGTGCTCCTAAGGAAGCCACTTCCTTCTATTGGCCAAACAGTTGAAAAAGTTACGAACTTCCCCATTACTAACTTTTCTGCAATGTCTTCTGTTGGTTGTCTTTTGTTGTTTTTCTGAAAATTGATTCATAAAATATTGGCATTTTCTAATATGTACAAATATGACCTGACAAATGAACAGACAGAGAACAGACGAAATGGGGAGAAAATAAAACTCCTGTCCAACTCGGTTGGCAGAACTAATGATGCTCCATGTAAAATTCAACCAATATTGATGGTGTTAAAAAAGCTACTAGAAAACATTGAGCATTGCAAACCGAATTGCTGGTGCTTGTCTTAAATTGCTTAAATAAAACACAATAAGACAACAACATCTACTACAAACATTATCTAATGGTTTATGCTCACTTGTGAGTGTTTTAGTGACGTCTTGCTCTTGAATGTGTTTGCATTTTCAATTGCAAAGCTTAACGAGGGGATTTGCATTCCAAGACTGCATATGAGCCTGCTATCTCCCCTAGAGTATAATGTCTCTATGGTAACAAGAAGAAATAAACATGAAATTTGCCTGGGCTTTGTGAAGTGTCTGCATTACAAGGCCTCCATGTGTTCTTTGAGTTGGCAGGGAGAGTGGTGTGACTACAAGTGTCTGCACAGAAGATTAATAAGTCCAATATTTGCATTGGGAAATTGATGAGATTAGTGTTCTGCCGGATGTGCCGGACCCATAGACACACTTTGTGACCCTCCTCTCACCTCTTAGTTTAAACACAATACAATGTTAGGAGAGCATAGAATTTGCTCCAAATACATGGGGTATTTGGAGTAAATCCAAACAAGAAAATCAGAGTGTTTATAAATACAGAGTAGAATGCACAGCCCATGGTCTGCTTCCTCTCTGTTGAAATTCCACATGCAACTGAAGGAATGAATGTCTTAAAAAATAAGTGGTCATAGAAATGTGTCAGGACTAAGATATATATGTTATTATTATTTTCAATGACTTCAGTGTACATTTCCAACACAAAATTTACAATAATACACATTCCATGACTGAAAAGAAGCAGA